TTGGCCCAGGATCGAGCATTGTTTCGTTCTGCTGTGCATGGGGTCACTATGAGTCGGTTCCGACTCGATGGCACCTGACAACAACAACAACAACTGTGTCATCATAGGACAAGTACATTGAAGCAGATTGTGTAGATAATATTCGGGTCATTTATAAGCTCTGTTATTTAGGGATTCTGAATGATACTTAATTTTTTTTTTTTATTTAATGATTGGGGTAAGCTTTTCAGTATTTTTTTTAATATTTCCCTCAATGCCTATAAAGCAGCAAGAATATGTTGACTTGATTGACTGCTGAGTGGGTGGGAAAGAGGTCACATGTTTAGCCACTAGTCTTCTGCCAGTGTAGCATTGCTTCCATAGGTTTCATACAAAGTTTAATTGGGAGAACTGAAAAGTGTATGAAGTGATAACTTAGGTGGTTGATACTCAGTGAAACTTGGGATCTTCTCTCTGTTTTAAAGAGATAATACTGAGCACACCTAAGAGTTTGTATTAAAAAATGAATATCTGCACTACAAGGTGATGACAATGTGTAGTCAGATTTACCTTCCCATGCCCTTTGTCATAGTGGCAGAACTATTTGAAACGACAATAAAGTTACAATAGCAAACTTTGAAAGAAAATGAGGCTTTCTCATTTTCTCAAAAAAAAAAAAAAAAAAAAAAAAGTGAAATGATTCGGCTTTGTTGTATACATTTCAAAATAGTAGATTAGTTTTACAGCAGTTTTTTGGAATGATGTGCCACAGGCAGGTAGAAAATACCTAGTTTTCTTAATAAATTACTTTGTTAGTTTTATGACAGTTGTATGCACAGAGTGGTTTTATAATCTCAATCAAAATTGCAGCAGTTCCTTAGAGGTAAAACAATTTTATAAGTTAAATCAGAGTAATGCCATTTCTTTCATGTAAGAACTCTTCTTTTCTATTATATAGGTATTCCTGCAACACATGGTAAACCCACTAGTTATTCGATAAGGGTAGATAACACAGTTCCACTTGTAACTCAGGCCCCCGCTGTACAGCCACTGCAGATCCGACCAGGAGTTCTTTCTCAGGTTGGTGATAATTCATTACTTTTGTACATCCACTATCTTTTTCCCATGTAAGTAGAGATACTCTGCTGTTGGGGACAATAAAAATGACCTGGATGGGAATTCCATCCTTCGTAGGTCATTGACTTTTTAAGAAAAATAATGATTCGTTGATTGTTACTTGAATAATCTGTTTAGTTTGAGATGTGGTATGAATACCTGACTTGCATCTTACTAGGTCTGGTTTTGTTTTGATGCAGCAGACATGGTCTGGCAGAGCACAGCAGATGCTCGTACCTGCCTGGCAGCAGATAGCACCCTTGGCTCCGGCAGCTGCTACACTCACTTCAGAGGGCGTGGCTGCTTCACAGAGGCTTGGAGATTGGGGGTAAGTGAAAAATAATACTAATAACTTATTTTTTAATTCTTCTTTGTGAGTAGTTTGCAAAATACATCTTGGTAAAGAAAAGATTGAAGTTTTCTGAATTTTCTCCCCAGGAAAATGATTTCCCACAGCAGCCATTATAACTCAGTGATGCCGCAGCCGCTGCTAACCAATCAGATAACTCTGTCTGCCCCTCAGCCAATCAGTGTGGGCATTGCACATGTTGTCTGGCCTCAGCCTGCCACTACAAAGAAAACTAAGCTGTGCCAGAACAGGTTGGTATTGCTACTTTCAGTTGTCTCTGAATTTTTGAAATGGCTCTTTAAAGTAAAATTTGCATGTACACTAAAGGGTCACTCTGTTATATTCAAAATGACCTCTTTGATAGCCTTGCTACAAACACTAAGCCAGCTCCCTTCTCAATTTCTCAGAGGTATTTTGGTAAAACTAATGGAATGGGAGCCAGGAAGAGAGGAAATAAATGCTTTCAGTTGGTAAGATTGTCTTTATTGCCCTTTTGATTTATTCTCCACCTAGACTGTAGCAACTCTAGACATCAGCTATCACATTTACCTCCCCCCCAAAAAACATGACTGTTTGAATGTTTGTAAATGTAGTAGACATTAATATTTCTAGAGATAAGTAGATTTTGTATCTCACAAAAGCTCATGATTTCTATGCTGTTGTGTTATAGACATGGTTTTCAACAAGTGAAGGTTTGTGTTCAATTGAACAAATCTTAGAAAAATGGCATGTACATGTTCTGATTATAGACATTACACATTATTCCTTTGGTTGCAGGAGTAATTCATTGCAGAATACCAATATCCCCCATTCAGCATTTATTTCTCCAAAGATAATAAATGGGAAAGATATCGAGGAAGTAACTTGTATAGAAACACAGGACAATCATGACTCAGAAGGAGAGGCGAGAAATTGTTGTGAAACATCTGTCAGACAGGACTCTGATTCATCGGGTGCCGACAAACAGCGGCAAACCATCATCATCGCTGATTCGCCGAGTCCTGCCGTGAGTGTGATCACCATTAGCAGTGACACTGATGAGGAAGAGACATCCCAGAGACATTCACTTAGAGAGTAAGTAATGTCAGGTGCTGTCGTCATCTGCTGGGGTGGAAAATCAGTTCTTTAATTTGTGTCTTGGGTGTCAACGTCCTGTGGGGTAAAGCCTTCAAATTAGAGCATCAGATTTTTAGACTGAAGGAGCTTTCTAAATAGTATTTAGCATGATTATTATAGTAGTTTTCCAAAAGTTAAGCTTTACATTTTTGTCTGTGGGAGGTCATTCTGAAATGTTTGTATCCTTAATTTTGGCTGCCTGCACAGTCTACTCATTTTTGACACATTTTCCCTTTCCTCCTCCTATTAGATGTAAAGGGAATCTAGACTGTGAAGCTTGCCAGAGCACCTTGAATATTGATCGGATGTGTTCATTAAGTAGTCCTGATAGTACTCTGAGCACCAGCTCCTCAGGGCAGTTTAGCCCATCCCCTTGCAAGAGACCCAACAGGTAAAGGGATTTTAATAGCAGTACATCATTAAATATTAAAATGACTATAAAAAGCTTTGATTTCTTTTTGTGTTGCTGTGTAAATTAATATATGCCTGCCAATTTACCACAATGATGTCTCTTTTGAACATAAATTTTGAACTGGATTACTTTTTTTAATGTAAGAATTAATAGTAGTCATTTTCTGTATTGTTTTAGATATAGCTCTAAATGTGAGAATAGGAGTCTAAGAAACTATTTTCTTATAAAATCATCTGTTTTTGAAAGGGTGAAAAAAAACAACAACAACACATTATCAACTTTAGCTTTTCAGACTACCCTTGTACTTAATTTAGGAAATGAAATATATACTTTAGGTAAATAAAAAAGGAATGTTTTGCATAATGATGTACTGACTGACCCACTGACAGTAGAGTATCCACTGTAATTTTTTCTCCCGTTGGTGATTAACTTGCATGGTATCATCTTTATATCCTTGCCATTCTTTTGGTCAAGGACATGCATGGCCATTCAAACAGTGAACTTCTCCTGACCAGCATGATGTAATACAAATTAACTGAGTAAAGTCATAAGAAATTTCAGTGAAGTACATTCAGTGAAGTGAACACACTCTCTGTGTGTTCACTTTTTTTTTTAATGACAATATAATCTGAAATTTTTAGATTTTAATTTTATATATTTGGCCTCTCTTTTTCCTGAATCGGGAAATAGGGTTTCAAATACTTAGAGCCGAAGCTCTGTGGAGGATATAAAGAAGTTTAACATACCCTCTTCTTCCAAGTTGCTATCATATTGTTTGGAAGTTGATGCATAACTTGTTAAAAGAGATTGTACATTGCTTCAAATGGTTAAGTATGAGATAAGTAATTAAAACAGTACGTACTGTAGAAATCCCAAGGAGAGAGAGATTGTCAGGCTCTGAGAGGGCCAGGAAGAGAAGAGAGATATGGGAGAGGTGCAGGAGACCTTCCAGATAATGGCTGATGGAATCCAAATTAACCACTCATGACACAATAGAATTTAATCTGAAATATTCCAGTCACATGCTTATATGTCCAAGTATTTCATTTGAATAATCCAAAACAGTGCTTCTGAAAAATGGCTTGATGAAATTATTCAGAATTTATAAAGGGGAATTTTATGAACTGCTACTAAGGATCAAGTGGAAAGGGAAAGAAAAGAAAATTAAGGGCCAAAGGATGTTCCAGAACAGGACCGAGTTAGAGTTAGTAGTCTGAATAGAGAATTACTGTGAAGGTCTAGAAATTCTGTAACAAAATGGTAGACAAGGAAAAGGGTTTAGTTAGTCACAAAACTAATAAAGATCCTTAGCAGTTTGCTGGAGACTGGTTCTTATTTAACTGTAGATTTAATATTGGAAAATAGTGTCATCACAATGCTTTTTTGATGTAGTATGTCGGATGAAGAGCAAGAAAGTGGTTGTGATACTGTGGATGGCTCTCCCACGTCGGAGTCTTCAGGGCATGACAGTCCATTTGCAGAGAGCAGTTTTGTGGAGAACACTCATCAGAACACAGACCCGGTAACCTCTGCTGACACGAAACCTAAACCAGCTGTTTGTAGTGTCGTGGTGCCGCCAGTGGGACTAGAACATGGATTAAATCCTGATGAGCATATGGCAAACACCACAGGTAAACAGAATCCTCTTGATTTCCCTGAATGTCCTTAAAAAGGTTTTAATTTATGACCATCAGAGAACATCATTGCTGAAAGTCATCTCTCAGTTTCCAACTTGACTCTTCATATCTGTTATCCCAAAGAAATCTCTTATCATCCATCCAGCGCCTAGAAACATGAGCTCGCTTTTTTAATTTGATTTTAAGTTCTCAAATGACTAGCACATAAAATATCCACAGTTCATTTAAATTTTTATTAGAGAAGGAAAAAACATCAACTCTGTAATCTTTTGTTTGTTGCCAGATTCTACATGCCAGCCATTAGTAAAAGGGCGATCTGCTCCTGGAAAATTAAACCAGCCTTCTGCAGTGGGCAGTCGACAGCAAAAATTGACATCAGCATTCCAGCAGCAGCATTTGAACTTCAGTCAGGTGTGCTTGTTTGTGAAATTCATGAGATTCTTGAGATTCAGATTTAGCACTTGTATTCCACTTAGGCAAAAAAAGGATTCTGAAACTATACTCTTAATAAATTTTCCCGATTATTATCCAGCATAACTGAAGAGTTGTTATTGTTATGAAGTTGTTAAGTGCTGTCGAGTCGGTTCCAACTCATAGCGACCCTGTCTAGGATTTCCAAGGAATGGCTGAGGTTGAACTGTTGACCTTGTGGTCTAGTGCATTATCCTAATATCAGATAATTTAACAGATTATTCATAGAGCTTGAGTTCTTCAGAAAGATTAGGTTCTTGATTCTCTTAGTTTGGATTTTTATTTATTTTTGTAGTGGGTTTATAGTGCGCTATGAATTGATGGCTTCATCTCTCATGTGCCCATGGTGTGATTGTCCAGCCTGAGTAAAAGTTTGTCATCTGTTCAGCATTGTACTTAGCAGTTAATCTCATGTGAGGAAACAAAAGATCTTAAGTATTGAAGACAGACCTCGGTTCAAACCTACTTATAATATGCCTAATACTACTTAAGAGCTTTGGGTGTGGCTCTGTGGATCAACCCTGGGCAGCGAGCTACGAAGCTGGCAGTTCAAATCCACCAACTGTTCCTCAGAAACCCTATACAGGGTCTCTGTGAATCAGAACTGATGCAATGGCACTTAACAACAACAAATACTACTTAGAATATGACCATGCTTGGTCTCTTCAACAAATCTGGGCCACAATTAATGAGAATAGTAGCAACATCTTGGGGTTATTTAGATTTAAGTAAAGCTGTTTTTGTAAAGTTTTTAATTTGATGTATAATAAGTGCTATATAAATGGTAATTTTAAATTATGATGGAGACAGTAATAGTACTAGTTGAAGAGTAGCAATGTTAATACTATTAGAGTATGTAGTAATAAATACAGGATCTTAACACTAACACATATAATTGATAGCTAAGAAGAAAAACTATCTCAGAAGAGATTCACCATGCATTGTCAGTAGTAACAGACTATTGTAATTTTCCTTTTCTTTTTTATTTCTTAAATACATTATTTGGTTTTCTTTGTGGATAGGTTCAGCACTTCGGATCTGGGCATCAAGAGTGGAATGGAAACTTTGGGCATCGAAGACAGCAAGCTTACATCCCTACTAGTGTTACGAGTAATCCATTTACTCTTTCTCACGGAAGTCCCAATCACACAGCAGTGCATGCCCATCTGGCTGGAAGTACTCATCTTGGAGGCCAGCCTACTCTGCTTACATACCCATCATCAGCTACCCTCAGTAGTGCTGCACCAGTGGCTCACCTCTTAGCCTCTCCATGTACCTCAAGACCTCTGTTACAACCTCCAACCTATAATATCTCCCATCCCAGTGGCATAGTTCATCAAGTCCCAGTGGGTATAAATCCCCGTCTGTTACCATCCCCAACCATTCATCAGACTCAGTACAAACCAATCTTCCCACCACATTCGTACATTGCAGCATCACCTGCATATACTGGATTTCCATTGAGTCCAACAAAACTCAGCCAGTATCCATTTATGTGAAAACTCAAAAACAGTATATTGAGGAAGCTCAATGATATAACCATTTGATTAAAAATAAAAACATGGTATTTAATAAATATTAGCCATGGCACAAGAAAACTATTTTTGAATCATGTAGACTTGGGTGCAATTTAAACAACTTTGAGCTTTAAAAAAAAAAAAACAAAAACAACTCACTTTTAATGTGTTTTGCACATTTGGTATAACTTGTCTTTGGTCATGTTATCTTCTTATGTAGTAACTCTAGACAGGTGACTTATGGGAGCAGAAGTCCAGTTTTGCTCCTGCTATTTTTTATAAAATTGCCTTCTAACTAGTGCAAGACATGTCCACATTTGGGAAGCCATTCTGTGTACAGACTTAGAGCAACAGATGCACATGTGTCCGAATTACAGCATATAAGTGAATTGTATTATCTCTGTCTTAGTGTATAAATGTTGGGTCACTTACCTAAGAAATTGAGCTATTGTTCTTTACATTTGCATGTGTCTTTTGCATGGGCAAAACATTGCCTAGACTTTGCTCTTAAATGTTGTTCTAATAATCTCAGCTGCATTGTAAACCGTTCCCACACATAGTGCCTTAAATATTTGAGGTTGTTAATGTTATTACCTATTATAAATGTTGAGGACTGCAGCACTTAAAAATCTAGACCTACTCTTTACTTTTCTTTTGATAGAGTAATGTTCATTTTGGGTTTTGTGTGGTATGATTTTGAGTAGTAGCTGTTTTTTCCTTATTAAGAGGGCAGCATGTTTGCTATAGCTAAATTCTGCTGTCTGATTTTTCAGAATGATCTAGCTTCAAAAAAAGTAAGCAGTTAGTAGTGCTTAAGAAAAATTAATTCAGTATCTAATGGATAGTTGATAACTGTCACAACACGGCATTTTATATACTGTTAAGTGAAACTGCAATACAATCTAGGTTTATTTTGGGAGTGTTTGCTATATAATTGGATTTATAAAATGTTTAGAGATGCAGTAGGCATGACTTTGAATAGATAATGAAAGAAAATGCAAAATGCTCATTGATTCATGATGTGGTTTCATCTTAGCTTGGGCAAACCATGCAGTATTTAATAAATAGTAGCAGAATATTTACTATTGAAGCTTGAAAAGATGTGAGTTCTTTGTGTGCAATTTTTCATTTATGCATGTGAGAAGGTTATTTTTTGTTTTGTTTTAAATATTTTTGCATTGTGTTTGTTTTGCTTGTTGGTGGTGTTTGCTTATTTAATACATTCCGTCAGGGACAGAAATTACAGGCTGTTTTGTTTCCCCTAGAAAGTGTGTCTTGGGTTTTCCTCTTCTATTGTATTATTTTTCTTCCTTTCTTTCTTTTTTGTGTGTGGTGGTGGTGATGTTTAAATGAAGTTGCTTTTACAGCACCAAAGACTTAATCATCCATTTCCTATATAAAAGGTAGCTACTTTTGCATAGACCTCAAGTATATTGTAGTGTAGAGATGGAATTTAAGAGCGGTATTAAACTGAGGCTGTGTTTTCGCTTACGGGCAAGTAATAAATTGTATCATTTATCTTGAATGTATCATAGATAAGCTGCTATATAACGATTGCCACTTCAGATAGCTGTGAAATTAGGTGATTAACTAGTTGTTATGTAGCCTTCTAATTTCTGTATAAGTCTAATTACATGAAATAGAAGTTGGGGTTTTGATTTTTTACTTTGCTTTTCTGTTTGGAGTGTCATTGTAACTACTGTATTGTAAATGATGGAAAACAATTGCATATGTTATTTTGGGGTGTGTTATTTGCATCAGTATTTTATCTCTATTAACGTTTGTGCTCATCACTGCATATAAAATACTTGGATGTATCAATGTAACTTAATTTTTTATTTTCATACTGGCATTGTAGACACTTGAGGAAGCTGTATCTTGCAGGCTTGACTTAACTTTTTTCCTTACAAATCTGGAACATAATCTTATAGCATTTACTGGAATAAAGAGTACAAAGCATTTGAGTATAAAGCTCTCCAAATGTTTTGGACTTAATGCATTTCTTTGATAAATGAATTGCATACCACTAGTCAGCGCTGATGATAAGCTAATAATGGATAAACTTTTCTTTACTTCATTAACACAAGCAGTGTTTTATTTAATAATCATCAATGAAATAAATGTGCCTGAAATTGATTTTAAAGATTACAGTATTAGACCATAACAATAAAAACCAGCAGTACATTTTTAGTCACACTGAAAATGAAGGACTTAATTTTCCCCACAAGTTTCAGTGTTTTTAGTAATCAATTCTATGCATTTTATATAAATATAAATATATATATATGTAGTACAAATAAGAAAGGAGTAGCCTGATTAATTTAAAAGCTAATTTACAGATGACAAATTCATGGTGTCAATATTTAACCCTTTTGTGGTCTGTGGGACATATATCCCCCATTGACATTTTCAGCCTCTCAGGTGTCTTGGGAAGCTGCTATCCCAGTTGTACGTGCTCCGCCTATATAACTGCACGAATCAGAAGAAATGGGACTCACCCTACCAATACTACACTACCAGAGTCCACTTGGGATATACGTGTCCCATATAGTTGTATCAAAACCCATATTAACACAAAAAAGATTTTCCCGTGATGTCAGCATGCATTCAGAGCAGACAATATTTCGATCAAAAAATGGATATGCAAAATTGCTGCCCTCCATAGTCTTTTGAATTTTATTTGTATGGTCCAGGAAATGACTGGTATCTGCTCCCTTCTTGGAAATGATATCAGTGCTGGTAACAGATGTTTCAGAAACTGCACGAAACTGGCCTTGTTTGCTTTTTATCCAGTGTCATCTTTACATGTTCCTTGAAATGTTTTATTTTCATATTAAAGTTCCAGGACTGAGAGACCCTTGTTAAATGGTAAAGTTTGACAGTTTCATAATAGTAACGTTTGATAAAGGCTTAAACCAGTTAAGTACACTGTTCCTAATTGATTATAATCATGGGCTTTTTATGTGTTAAAAGAAAACTATTTTAAAGGTCTGCTAGTCTGAACTTAGCATACTGACAAAAGGATCTAGGTAATGTCTTTAAAACCATTTTTACCAGTTTTCTTTGGTTTTTAATGCTTTCTTAAATAAAACACTGCATGATTTCTAATTTGCATATTTGCAACTATTTTAATTTTCAAATTATTTTTTAAAATAAAATATCCTGATTATCTAGTTTGTTTTTCCTTCATGGTATTTAATTAAATATGCTATTTACTATATTAGCAAAATCTTTTTCATTTTTAAAATCTACTAATTTTAAAACTTTGTGTTAAGCAAAAGTTAAATCATACACTGCAAGGTGTAGAGAGATTTGTTTTACCAAACCCAATGATAAAGATTTGATTACTAAGTTTGAATTGTTAACTGTTTAACAGTTTTAGATCGTAGCTTTCTTCCTTTGGTTAGTTGGTTTTTGCTTTTACTTCTATGCTACACTAGTTTGCCATGTAGCAGTTGCACTGTGCAATATTACAATAAGGACTGGGAAAAATTTCTATGGATGTAATGTCTATTACAGTTTGCGATAGTATTTCTCTCTAGTTCTCAGTGATTTAAATGTGACCAAGCCTTCTGTACTTTGTCACAAAAAGCGGGTTTTCCAGGTGACTCTTTTGGTGAGTGTCAAAATAAGAATTTATGGTGTATTACTGTCGATTCACTTTGAATTAAAATATATATATTGCAGCAAACAGCCTGTTGACTTTTTTTTCCACCCCAGTGCTGCTTAAAGGGTTGGGAGGGGAAAAGGTGAGTAACATTGAGCACTTAATTGACATTGTCTCAATTTAACTTTCCAGAACCACCTTGTGCGTTATATATTATTATGCTCATTATATAAATGAAAGCACCGAATCTTAACCCTTAGATCACAGCGATGATTGTATAAATGAGGGGAATAGCTCATGACGACTTGGTAAATTACGCAATGTCACATCTCTCATGAATGGCTAATCTGAGACAGGAACTAGGCTATCTGACCGTAACTGTTCCACTTTCTGCCAGTTCTTTTTAACTGAAGTTCGAGGCAGCGTACTAGTAGGCATGGATCATGCCTATTCCTGTACCCAATAGAATTGGCATGGTCCATGTATATTATACTTAAATTATTTTTGATGGAAATATTTTTTGTTTAATATGCATGAATGAAGAATATGGAATTCATATGAATTCTTAAGATACGTAAAACATGAAACTTGAAAAACTGTAGTTGGCCAGTTTGAGCTATGTGCTCAAATAACCACTTGTACTTCATGGGCCAACTTTAGACCAGTGCATCAGTAGAATGACTTGTTTGGAAGCATTTCCCCAGCACACACCAGTGAGGAATGCATATGCTCTAGATGTCTTTCAAGAAACTTTAGTTGAATTATAACATATATAGGTACTCCTTTGTGTCTAATTTCTCTCAGCATTTTATTTGTGAGATATATCTGTTGTATGTATTGTTGTTAAGTGCAATCAGGTCAGTTCTGACACACAGCAACCCTCTAGGATTTCTGAGGAGCGACTGGTGGGTTTGACCTGCCAACCTTGCAGTTAGCAGTCCAGCACTTACTCTACAACACCACATCAGGACTGGCAAGGTACACAATTAGACCAAGTACGCTATGGATTTAGACTAACCTTAAATAAGACTTTCCATCTTTATGTTTTTCCATCCCAAACAGATATATTCTCCTTGTTGTTAAGTGCCTTTGAGTCAATTCCAACTCATAACCACTCTGTATAGGGTTCCCAAGGAGCAGTTGGGTTTGAACAGCTGACCTGCGTTTAGCAATCCGTACTGAGTAGTTGTGGTTTATTTATCCTTATTGTTATATAGTATTCCTTTGTGTACATATGTCATATTGATTTTATTGACAACATTTGAATAGTTTTCACTTTTTTGGTGACTAGGATTATACATAGTGTTGTCATGAACATTTTTGTCTATAGCTATGGTGAACACATGCATACGTTACTGTAGGCATGAAATTGTTG